GAAAATGATGTATGTATTACTCTTAACTGATCTAGCAGCTATCTATTTGAAACTCATCAAATTAGAGTGGCATGGATATCATCACCATAATCCTTTTCCAGAAGAAATGTTTTGCTTTCCAACCCAAAGTCAAAGCTTTCGCTATCCAACTTACGTGTTGCCTGCTTTTATCAAGTTTGACCTAAGCCTCTGTGGAATGACTGGCTAAAAGGCTCGCAGAAATGCTTATGTTCGGCAGAGGTGTCATCATGTCGGGACCTCTGGTATGCCATGTAACGAATGCAAAAGGTTGTACCACGATAACTTTACAAGCTTCACTCCAGCTGTATACAAAAAAAGCATAGCAATGCGGAAATCGTCTGGCTCTGCCTGTTTAGCTGCTCACACATTCAGGGGTTGGTCGATGAAGCGAAAGTTTTTCTTAATCCCACTGTAAAGTCAGCATCCAAAAGAGAAGCTAATATTTGTGATAGCGCTGGTGACACTGCATCTGTTGACAAATAGATCATTGTGAAGGATCCTGAGAATTTCTCACAGCAGACTAAAAGTCGGGCGAGGAGACTAGCTAAAATGTATGTTGATGCTGACTTAAAAATAACTACACAAGGTAAAGTGGAGCAAGTATCTTCAGGTTCTCGCTCCTTCAAAACTAGCAGAGCAAGTGTGCAAATTATCGATCGTAAGACCAGGTGACGAAAAGGACAAGAGTGGATTATCACCAGTGCTAACTGAGGAATTATGTGAACGTAGGTCCTATCCTAACCAGTCCAGCTACCAAATCAGTGACGACGAGTGTATAAAAGATGACAAAACTTCATTCTGAGGGAATCAGTATCAAAGCTACTGAGATCAGCCTTCCATATTCGACTCTGAGAAATGGTAAGTAGTTGAAACTAAACAAAAGAGTAAGAAGCCAATCATAGTTCAGGAGTCAACCATCCTTATCTAAAATGCGATAGACCAAGCTAAATCATGCGCAAAGTATGCTGTCTCCCATAAGCTTGAGGAGAATAGGGGCCTAAACTGGTGCGTTCTTTTTAAATATAACCCTTACAAGGTCTGAAGACTGGTTAACAGGCTAACAGTTGGAAACTTACAAAGAGTTACTCTTCCCAAGATATATAGAATAGAAAAAAGAGGCAATTCCTGCCAAAAACAGATTTCATTTATATTTAAAGTCATCTTAAAGCCAGCAGACGAGGCAGATCGTATTCTGAAGAACACTCACAGACCCCAAGGAAGTGAAGCATTCGTGAATCAGGATTTGTCTCGCCGACTAAATTAAAAATAGAGAAGCAGGAAAACATGTGAAATGGAATGCTGATGAGTAAAACGCAAGGGTCAAGAAGTTAATCCAGTAGTAATATTGAGTGGCCATAAATATGAGAAGGAAGATTGATTTCTGAATAGGCTGACACCCTGGACAGATAGGTGTAAAAAGCTACTTGGAGGAGGCTTCAACGCATTACCAGTTGATTTGGACAGCATCACGTAATTCGCCTGCTTGTAGGTTAATGGAAACATTATCTCCCTTGGCTCTTATGCAGTACATTAAAACGGCAACCTGGTAATGTCATCAGCATGCTCTGTCACATCCAGACTAAGAATTCTCTCACACAAGCGATATAATCTGCATCCAGCACCTTGCACCTTTTTACGAAAGTGACCATGCAGTGATCATCTTCAGATTCACAGTAGCCGTCTTGTGCCAGGCCGACATCTCAGCTAGACCCAAAGTATGGATGGTGAATACAGCAAAAATGTCAACCCATTAGCCGCTTCAGAGGACTGGGTAGCTAATTTCAGAAGCCGCAGTTGAGGTCACATGGTACTCTTTCGATACGTTTTACGTACGGTTGACTCAACCGTTGATTCATTGGACCACGCCAAAAGGGATGAAAACACTATCCTCCACGGCTAAACCGTGAATTCAAAAGTTTACTAAGACAGAATAAAAGGTGTTGGAGTCTTATCAAACACTACAAAACTCTCAAAGCAAAGCAGGATTACAAAGAAGTCCAGAATAGAAGTATCACTGCCATCTACCAATCTCAAACACGCTTCGAAACGTGTCTCGCCCAGACTGCAGTATAGATTAGTTCCTTAAGTGAATTAATGAGAAAATGTGTCATGATACCTACACCCTAGTGGAAGAAAGAAAATAAACAATAAATTGAAGATGACAAGCACAAAGCAGAGGCTATGGTCGAATACTTTACTGAGATGTTTATCCATGAGCCTTCGGTGGATACGAATTCAGCATTAGAAGCCTTTGACACCCAGCAGAATAAACCCTGTGTAAATCAACTGAAACGAATCACTTAGGACAATAAACAATCTGGATGCAGAAAAATCAATGTGATCAAATAAGATGCATCCAAAGCTGCTCAGAGAGCTTATGCTCTACGTACCTGGCCCACTAACTACCATATTCAGCCTGCCTTTCAGTGAAGGTACACCTTAATATGGCTGAAAGGAAGCTATAGTCCCACCTATCCATAAGCCAGGATCTAGGCAGCACTCATCAAATAACATACCGATAAGCTTGAATAGTACTGTATTAAAGTACTAGTAAGTATAATCAGAAAAGCCACTGCATGCTAACCAGAAAGAAACACTCTCTTGTCACTTTTGCAACATGGTTTTCGTATAACTTTTGTTTGGCAAACTTTGTGGTCAGAGAAAGTTAAGTTTAAGGATGATAGAATAATCGTAGGTGTCGTTTTCATAGACTTTAGTAGGACGTTTAACAAGGTACCTCATTCTATGCTACTCATGAAACTGGAAAGTTTCACTATCACTAGATCGAAGTTCCTTACTGGTAGGAGACAAAGAGTAGGAATTAGTTTTTAGTTCTCCTCTCGGAAGTCGGTGCAAAGTGGAGTAAACAAGGCACAATTCTGGGTTCCCCATTGTTTCTGCTGTGTTTAAATGAACTGCGGAATGTTGCCGGATCTTGCATAGTTTTCTACAATGGTGATATAAAACTCTGGCGAGAAATTAGAGATGATAAAGATGCACGTACACTTAAGACACTTAAATAGCTTGTTAGTTTGATCAGAGAAGTGCCTCATGGGTATCAACGAGGGTTATCGTAAGAGTGTGCATACGGATATGCAGACGAAAACGTCTAAGATAATAGTGGTACTCATCCACCCTCATTATTGATTCACAATGACCTAGAAGTTACACCAGGTCTCGATCTGGGTAATGCAGCATACTCACGACCTGTCTCATTCAGAAGTTTAAGGATTATCTAGGCATTAAACAAAACATTTGCTAAGATAAGTGGTGATATGTTCCCGAGCTCGGGAACATCTTGAATCAGATTGTAGCGTTGCACACTTCCCCAAAATCAATAGCCTAGGATTTGACGACTTTCGACACTGATGCTGACCTTGATAGTTTAACTGAACTCGCTAGCTGAAGGCACCCGGTCAAGCATCCTCGCCATTTGGCACGCTGTCGTGTTACGTCGCACTGCTCGTATTCGACTCTCTAGCCAGTTAGTTGGAACGCATCGGTATCTTTGCACAACCATCCAAACATACTATTCCACCCGACTATGCTATCGTGTTCTTCCTTGGTCTCGTATTCGTGGGTACATAACAAGTCCGAATAATCAGTGATTGGTCTTTGCATCTGTCAAGTTCGCAACAGGACAAATCTTAAAAGTTCTAGACTGGAAAACCGTACATAAGTGGAAGTCCTTGTCTGAAAGTTGATCCAAACTTTCTGGTTAGAGTTCAGAGGGCGGCCACTAGTATGATATTCGTGGCGGCTAGCATAACTTTTCTGTCGCACAGCAAATAGAGGATAGTCCAAAATATGCTGTGCACGACCATGAGAAATGACCTTCAACTCGAACTGCCGTCTTTTTTCCTTTCCACCAGGTGTGAACACATAAGAAAAGATAGAAGAATATAACGGAAGATGACAACCAACTCCTTGAAGAAGTGGCGTTCACGTCATCAGTTGACTCTTACAAAAAAGGACTGCACATGCGCACAGACCTACTGGAAAAGGTTATATAAGGGATCGTAGCCTTCTATCCTCAAGCTATAGATACGAAATTGAAACTTGATGAAGAACGTAAAATAAAAGTATTCAGACTTTATCAGTCTAACTCCTTTTGGCCAATGGTTCGAAAACCGGATAGAAAGAAAAGCTTAGAAGTTGACAACAACTGAAATACTAAATATAATAAATGAAGTTTCTCGTAAGTGAAACACTATTCGAACTTCACTAGACATAGCTCATCTGTAAAGGAAGGAAATACCAAAAGACGGAAATTATCTCTTAAATTAAAGACGTTGTGCAAACTTTGACACATCAACGTCTAACAAGTAGAATGCAAATGGGATTTCATTAGGTCATAAGATGAATGATATTTCTGTCATTATAAGCTATTAAGAGAAGCCTTTTCAAAACCATCTTAATGCAAGGGGTGCGTAACTGTTTCCCGTAGTGTCAGGTTAGATCATCTGCCATTAACAGACTAGCTTCCTTGTTTTGAGCAGTAATTAAAGTTGTTCGATCCATTCCGAGGGCATTCATCTGAACAGGGTCTACACTTGTTGTGTTTAACTCATTGAGCAGTTGGACTTCAAAGTACTTCTCACGGCACCAAGGTCTATGTGATGAAGATATGACACGAAGATAGAGAAAAAAGGGAAACCGCCTAGAGGATAACTAGATGACCGAATTCTAGGAAGCAAAGTTTTGCTGCTTCGAAATAGCATAAAGACTGCTGTGAAATTCAGACAATAGTAATAAAAAGTTCGCCATCAAAGTATAGGTGTAAGCGCAAAAATTGCCATCGAAGGACTAAAAATTAGCCAAAAAGGCTGACAAACTACGGTTTACAACTTTCATGAGAGTCCGAAAATCAGTTCATTGGTAGTAGCCGGTTCATTGATTCATCGTCAGACTAATGTGATTTCGATAAATATAAAGATTTCAAATGTGCAAAAAATAACTATTCTGCAAATAACTGATACCTTGTTTTCCTTGATCAGTTCTCACCATAGCGTTACGATTTCAAAATATAGGTAGTTGTTATGGTTTCTGATCAGGATATTGGTGTATTAAAAGTAACCCAGAAATCTCTTTTAAGATACATTTTGATGCATTATTGAAGACTTGCTGACTATTAAGACAAATTTTCACCTATTTGATGTAAAAAAGTCCAAACTAGCCATGAAACTTGAAGTTTCATTTTTCAGTGCTAACTGTCTTCATCCTACATCTAAAAGAATGAATTAGGATAAAAAGGATTGATAGTTGGGCTTTGTTAGTGCAGAGAAGACTTTTGGCCGAAAGAAGAGAAGACAGACATATCTTTCGCTAGATACACTAATATCCAATATTAAAAGTGAGTTGTGAGGAAACGTCGGATATTTGAACTCCCGCTTCTAGGTCTTGAGGATTAATTCCTGTTTCCCATCACACCCCTTCGGGCGATGCTGAAATCTCTCCATTTTACCCGCTTATAGCTTTGGAAGTAATGGTTGCCCATCGGAAGGATTCTTGATGATTTGTGGTTTGGTTTGTTCTGCGGGATCGATAGGCTCCTAGTGAGATCATTTAAAACTTTGCAGTTCCTGTCTTTATGGCATGTGCAGGCAAGTGTAGTTGTATGCAGTTTTATGGGTTGTTTACATTAGTTGAGGCTTTTTCTCGTTGGTATTCGAAACCTCATCGTTCGGCTACTGTAGAACAGCGGCGGCGTTGGTCTGCACGTTACCGTGTGCAAAAAGTTCTCGAAGATCCACAAGGGAAGTTCTGCAGAATGCAACGGTATTTACTTTAGCGCATAGAAACAGTGTGCGTGGTCCGCTGCTTAACCTTCCCTTAGACTAGCCAACTGAATACAAACTACCATGGTTCTGAAAACGTGGCATTCTCTTTTCGCGAAAGGAGACGGTCAGAATCCAAGGTGACATCAAATCATGGCGCTCGTGTTCTCGAAGAAATAGAAAGTTTGACAAACGACCACATTTGATCAAAAAGTGAACGCCAAGTGATGCTTAGTCTAGTTACGGAAGGAGAGGCCCTGTGGCTCAAAATTCGGTAGCCTATGACAACTGGATGTGACGTCGGGACTTTCTGCATTCTCCTAAGGTCCTCATTGCTGCCCCAAGTACCAAATAACAGGAAGAGGATTAGCAGCCGGATGAGATCCTGACAGGAGGATCATGGAGACAGAATGGAGTTCTGCACAAACGCAAACAAGGTCCGGTTAGCTTGGAAATAGTCATCTCCTAGTGTACGATGCGCAGCGGTTCTGCGTCCATTACTGTTTTCGGTTTTTTCGTGAATGACCCTCTATCCGGTTTCAGCTCCATGAATTCACTATGGCCCAACGATGTTAAGTGTGGGGAACCGTGGCATCCAAAACAGAACGGAGTGCTTCACAAAGCGAAATCAGGATGCCATCACTCCTGACTAGTAGAGAGCATCTTACTGTCGCTGCGGTATTCCCCCTCTTCACATGGTGATGGTAAAAGTCTTTGGTTAACACTGAGCAACAAGCTGGATACTGGTTCCAGCTATGTAAGAAACGCCTCCTGAGCCTATACGGCACTGTACCTCGTGGGTATGGGACCGCAGGACGTTACACCGAAGCTCCATCGAGAGCCTTACATGACCGATTCGCGACCTCATTCGGTTGTTCATACCACCACCGCATCACTGCAGTTGGGAGGAGATGCAAATCTGCTGGCGTTAGTCCATGGGCGAGCGATGATGGGTTTTGCGGGAATGCGGTGGTACTCTGGCTGGGGCGTGCTGGAGGATCTTGGCCACTGCCTCCCTAGTTACTTTGTGAGCTGGTAGTGGCCCACAAAAGGCTAATTAACTGAAATCACCTGAACGGCGGAGTTCTACCGAACTGCCACTAGAGTAATCCTTACAGAAACTCAAGCAGAGGCATCAGTCAATAAAAACCCATGTGCACTCTCTTTTCGAGCCTGTGACCTAAGGAGTGCCTTGACCGCTGAGGTTAATGTTGTTCGACCTGCTGACAGCTTTAAGAAATGTTTGGAAGGCTACTTAGCGAAACATGGTTTGCGCTCGTCCGTTTATAAAACCAAACTGCGTCGTACGAACTCATAACAGTTACTGTAAAGGAAAAATGATCTGAAAATCCCTCCCGATCACCCTTATTTGATTGTATTGACATTTATTTTAACATTTTTACCCTCGTTATGGATGGTGTACCTTTGACCCTCGCCGGTGTAATGTTATTTGCTTGTTTAAGTGGCTTATTTGACTTTACACTCGGTATTTGCCTTTGTGTGTTTGAGACTTATTATGAGTGTTTCACTTTCCTATTATGTGACGCTGGACTGTTGATAAGGTGATGTTATTTTACTGCGCACGACATTTTGTTTTGGTTCAACTTACGGTTGCGCAGTGATTTGACTGTTTGTCTTTTGACTGTCTACTGGGAACGTTTGTTTGTTGATTTGATTCCTGTGGGCAGAGTTTTGATCCCTTTTGCCGGGAATATTCCTATTGACCGACAGGTATTTAACAGTTGTATTTTTTAACCAGTTTTTACCGTGTAGTACGTATTTGCACCCGAGAACGTTTTGGACTGTATAGTTACCCAACGGCACTGTTGAGATATTTTTGTAATTTGACATAACTTATTGTTGCTTTGATAGTACCACAGATTTTGTTACGAATCTACTATTGAATTACTACAAACCGTGTTTTGATATTTCGATCCAACCTTTGACTGTGCGTCACTCGTGGAAGTTAGGAAGCTATAAAGTAGAACGCAGGAACTAGTCAGATTCACGTCAGTTGGCACCGCCTAGCTATTTCCCGCGTTCAGGCCAAGATTATTGGATTCTGGCCGCTACAGTTACCTCTAATCCACTTGCTTTCGATTGTCCCTATTATCATGAGCTAAGCTCAGTCTCATGTGTCTTTGTCAAGGATCCCGCCTCTTCAGTTAGTTTACCGACATAAATATCATCAATGTTTGTTCCCCTAACGTTCATTAAAATCTTCCCTGTTTTCGACTCTTTTCCAGTTCTCTACGATTTCACCTCCCGGAACCACTTCTTTTTTCGCCCTCTCCCTGAAAAATATGTTTTGCTTTTTCTTTCCATTAAGTTCACTTTTTACTTTTTCTTAGATCCTCTCGCTCATTCTTCTCGGTTGACTTCAATTTGTTTTATCCACCTTTTACGGTCGACCAAAAAACACTGTGGCGACGTGATTTTCGGAGTGCTCGCCTGGAACGCAATCCCAGGACAAACCAGGTGTCTTCCCACAAATTTAGATAAAAGCCAACCACCTGTCAGGTTTGTCACTCCTATTGGAAGCGAGTAGGTGGACATGCTTTATTGAAATATACAAACGATGCAGAAATACCCCAAGCCATCTAGGATTCCTATAGCACTGTCACACCAGACACGGCGTTTATCAAAATCTGAAAATCCATGTACTCTAGGTGACAGTAACCGGTCCCCGAACATACCGTTGGTAAAAAATAAAGCACGAGGAAAACGCGCGTGTCGGCCAGCGAATGCACCGAACACACTTCGCTTGGCCCCACCTTACAGGAGGCAAATCAACCAGTCATCAACAAACAGCAAACCTTTGACTACCGAGGTGCTTGCAAAGACTCGATGTCAGAGGCTCAAAAAGCCTTTGCGTGCAACATATGTCTAAAATGGGTACACGGTAGCTGTGATAGTGGTATATCAGGTCAGTGCTGCAGTTTTTTGAGGAAGTTCCCGAGTAAATCTGTGTGGTATATTTGTCCGGAGTGTCGGAAATCACCTGTCATCACCACCGGGGAACCGGAGAACCTGGCACGGCCAAACGCGTCGCATGGCACGACCTTCCACAATCTACCCTCAGAAACTGGTCACATTCCACAAGTGTTCGAAAGTGTCGTCCATAGTGATAGGAATAAACTGGCTATTACTACAAGTGAGGCGCCAACAGAGTCCCCACTCTTACCACTGCCACCCAGACGATCCAACGGAACTGAACAAACTGAAGAAAAGGGCTGTGTCGAAAACGCGTGGATGGAAGTGAATAAAGTACAGGGCGAACCGAAAGTACTGGCTACCAGGCCCAATGTCCCGCTCCCATGGGACAAGAGAACGGATTCCATCATTTTGTTCAACACCTCTATAGCAGCAGACTCACTCTTGGGAAAAAGGAACAGTCTGGCAGAGAGAAGTGTGACGACTGCTGCAGAACGCTAGGAGTAGAAACCATCGTGGCTAACTTATTCCGGCCCCTCTCGAGGAAGTTGAGAACCTTGGGGCAGCCGCCACCTCTCAGGATATCAGGAATGACAGTGAAACAGTCGGAGACCATGCTGCTGCCGTTCCGCAGGCAGGACATTGCAAGCTGCTGCCACAAAAGGATGAAACTAGACAAACCTTTGGTCACCAGAGTGGTGGATAGAGAGTCCACACCCAGTGATCTGCACAGAGCTGCAGACGTGGTGGTGCATGGAATACCCGAACTAGTGGGTGGACTCACAAAGTGTGATAAGAAATACCTGCATGACGTCGAGGCGTGGGGGTGGCTAGCGGCAAAAATGGGACCTGGAGCTTCGCCTTGGAAGTTTGCCTGTCGATGGCGTAAGTAGGTTACCACGGCCCACGGCCCTGCACAGAACTTCCTCGCCAAGATCGCTAGCTGTATGCCTTGACTGCAAAGCATCACTCACAGAAGCTGTCACAGTATGGTACCCTGTAAAAGATCAAGTAAGAGGTGCTGTACGACACCGCGAAAGTAAATCAAGATCTACCGGACCGGAAGGTGGGAGATAACATCCGACGGTGCTGCCAACAGTACTAGCCAATAAAACTAGCCAGTAAACTACTTTAGATATAACATTGAACAATACCACCGTAACAACACCAGGGTGCCAAAAAAAGCAAAAAACGGAGGTCTGCCAGTCCATTGGGGACAGGCAAATAGAATCCGATACAACAGCACACCAGACTCCAGAAAGCCTCCACATCGCACCAGGCCCAGAACGTAGCTAC